GTGAACCATAACAATAACAAACCTGCACAGGCTGATCACCTGATTTTATTTATTTTCTATTTCCTAAGCCTATTTTCTTTTATAAGATGATACTACTGAAAATAATTTAGTCATAAATTCACCTGAAGTAAAAATATTCTCTATACAGACTTGTAAAGCTGCTTTGTTACTGTTGGCAACTGCCCAAATACACTGAACAAAAATGTACTCTCAAAGTGAAACAGAAAGAATTCTAAAAAATGATTACTCATAAATTGTTTGATTCAAGAAATGAAAAAGTCATTTGCTAGTTACTTGACCCTTAGCTTCCTGTTCACCAACAAACAATGCCTACCACTTCGGGTCAATTTTTATCAAGTAAAAACAATCATTACTGATTACCCACTGGCTGAGGGCTGGCAAACCTTATTCAGGTTCACAATTCTTCTCCTATCATCATGTAGTTTACTGTGCCTTATTGGCTGATTTACATCCAATCACTGCAAGTCTAATATTTTTTCTTTAACAGTTTTTATCAGCATATTGACTTCCTTACATTCAATGCGTCACTACTCAATATTCATATAACCTATGGACTCAACAATGCCCTTCGATCGATATGAATCACATGCCTTGGTGAACAAATAAAAAACAACTCCAAATGCCACATTTTCATACAACAATTGATTTTTATCCTAAACTCACAAGTCGCGCCACAATGAATGTTTACTCAAGACAAAACAATTTAGCTTGACTAAATAAATGCGAAAAAGTAAAATCTAGCAGAGGGTTCAACTTATTATTCTTTTGGCACCAGCCACTTCTCAGTATATAATTAAATGGATATGTTATTTTCATTTCAGTGAGATCTGTTTTTCTTCTATATCTGTGTGATCAATAATATATATACATATACTGATTAATAAGATCAATTTTAATAGGTTAAAATTAAAACCACCAAAAATGCATTAAATGACAATTCAATTTACCCTATATTTAGTCTGTAAGATTTTATCTACTAGTAGACCTATATAGATACCTGTACAAAATCATTGGAATGTTGCCAACTATAACAAAGGGAGTTGTGAGCCTACAACAAGGCTTTTATAACTTCTTTAGGAAATCTTATCCATATTCCTGTGGGAGTCAATTTACACATAGCATGTCCTTGCGATCTATCCGTGTGGTTAAATTTAAACAATGTTAAGTTTAAGCTAAACCTGATGTGAATTGGACTCTGTTATACTTGTCATCTTTATAAACTGTTTAACCTCTCCATGCAATAGACAGTAAACTTCTGAAAATGGCGTAACTGAAGTAGTGCAATGTGTTTAACAAACAAAGTCAAGGCAATAATTAAGTTGGCAAATAAATATTCTTTTTTTTTCTAATACCAATCACATAAATGCTGTATTAACTTACCGTATGGGGTGGGCATGCTGGCTACAAAATTCCTCTACATGAATGTCCTGTTCGTGTGAATACTTGTTAAAATCTAATCACCTGAAAGAGTGTGAAATTAAATACTATACTAATAGCTGTCACAGATATATATCTCCATCGAGATGTAAAATTTCGTGTCGTAACTGCAATGTCTTTGGTTTTATTGTTATCACTAATAATTAGCGTTAACTGATGATATTTAATAAAATCACATTGTAAGAAGAAAAGTCACAATAGTTTTCTACTATAACCACTTCCTGGCCAAAAGTGAAACTTGGCAACTTCTCAAGATCTTGCTCAAACTCAAATAACACACAAACAAAAAAATAATAATAACTTCAGTGACAAGAGGAGTCGCAATCAAAAACAATTTCCCTTTAATCGTGAAGGAAAACTTTAGACAACATAAGTTTTAATGAGTAAATGCAACCACAGATTGCAGCGCCTATGTAAACAAAGACCGTGTGGAACAAGGAATCCAAGATGGGCGATCAGTTTCATATTTGCCACCACAAAATCATCTATTTTTCCCTATAATAAGATAGATAAATTGACAACGCATAGATAATTAGATGCTCGATTGTGTAACACAACTGTCATTACAATTAAGGTAAGCATTCGGTAGTCCTTTTCGAGTAAATACCTGTTGTTTTGACTACGGCACCTGCAGTCCCGCCATTTAGGTCTCTTCTTCTTCGATCAATGCCATGTGACGTCATCAAAACACGAGCTTTGATTGGATAACCTCTCCGTCATTGCTTTAAATAGAAATAAAAGGGGATTCCCCTTCTAGCCCTGCCTTTCCAAGAAGATTGTCGTCCTCCTTATGCTAGCCTCGATGTCGAAAAATAATAGGCAAGATTAGAAAACGAGTGTTTCAAAATGATATTGAGAATTCATTTTACGTTTGATAATATTTAAACATGATCCCGTGTTCATCGATCCATGGTTTGATATCCAATATATATATAAAAGAGCTGTCATAGCTATTTGTACATGTTGCAGCATTTCGGCAACAATTACCATTATTTAGACTGTGATAAATTTTTATGGAAATTTTAAATCAGAACAGTTTTCATCAATCAAATAATCAAAATTTTGGTCAAGTAAAATTGATATTATCAAGCAGGGACGGATTTTGGGGGGTGGGGGGTGAGGGGGATCCTGCTTTCCATTGCACCAAGTACTTAAACAAAATGAAACTTTTTGACAATTTTTCTGGCCCAGGGGAACATAGTACCTGGATAGGANCAACTCCAAGAAGGACTTGACTACAACAACTAACTTTATTTCTAAGTGTGCTGATATAAATACATTGTGTGTCTACTGATCAGAGGGATCACTGCTGTCAAGTGTGTTTATACTACTGAGTACATTAGTGAGAGTGCTATTTCATGATAATTGGTGACAGAGGGTTGGGGTTACTATAAGCTTGACCGATAGTGTTAAGAACCATAACACTGGTACTACCGGCACTGCCCTCAAAGGACTGAAATGCATTTGCACGGTTACGTCAGGTTGACCTCTCAGAGAAAGTATTGATTGACGCATCATCATCATGAACTTTGGCACGATGTGAATATGTAAAGTAGCGATTGTACTATTTTTAAACGATTATTTAAAAAGTCACTATACATTTATATTATACATAATGGTATATCATGGACTCCGCTGAAAGTGAAACTTTTCACTTAATTTGTTTCTTGATGAGTCGGAAAAAACAACACAAACGTTCATTTTTTTATTGGAAAGATATAGCCTATCACTGTACAATAATGAGCTCATCCAATGAACTGAAAATAGAGTAAACTGGAAGACCATGATCGTCGATGCCTGAACCAGCCCTGACACATGACGATGGTGATATCACGCACACAAATATTTTAACAAAGATTAGTAAAAGTATAAAAGACTTCACGGTTAGAGATTTTCTGGGTTGTGGTGCCCCCCCCCCCCCCCCCCCCCCACACACACACACACCAGAGATGTGAAGGACACTTCAAAGGAAGCAAAAGCAGGAGTTAAAATATATAACCTCACCCTCTCTCTCTCTCTCAGCTGAATGATCCAGCGGGCTATGCAATAAATAGGTGAGCGGCAAATCCCAAAAAAGTGCTTTACTTAATACATACGAACCGAGCATCACTGGAGCGTGGATTCCCAGTAACAACTGTAAACCACTTCTACTTGATAAGATTCTTATATGGCTCAAATAAATTCGACATGCCAAGGGATAAACTGAATAGATCACTCGATCAGCCATAAAAGACCTTTGGACTGCTCCTTTCTTTAAATTTTTGGTTGTTAATTTAACCTACTTTCGTGGCCAATCTTTCCTGCCCCATTGACATACAGCATAGAATGCCAGCAGAAAAATCCGTTCAAACATCATTTTCGGGTAAAATTAAACAATGCCTTTTGGTAATTCTCTTAGTTATACTACTTGAAACTATATGCTTGCATTTGGTTGGTTTTTGTGACAAAAAATTGACTTTGTATGCATCTTTAAGGAGTTTGGAGTTTAGTGTCCCCTTTATACACAGACCTGAATTATATATCATTTGACAGTTCAGTCTGCTGATCAAAGTTATCCATGATGTGGAAATAGCAATTGCCTACGTAACCATAGAAACAGACAAAATCCAAGATGGCTGTCACGTTTCGTGGTGAGGGAAGTTAGACCACACTTTTTTATTTTTATGGATGACATCCTCTGCGGACCCCGAAATCGGTGCGAGACGTTAACTTGTTCCGTTGGTGGATTGCCATCTGCGTACTCCATTGATTCAGCGTTTCTATCACCACCCTGTTGTTGTTGTTGTTGTTGTTGTCCAGCAATAGCCATAGAGTTTTCTGTCTGTTTACTGGCCAAAATTAAACACTCAGCGCCGGCAACGTTCTCGTTATTATTTGGAAAGTCTCCACGTCACGCCATCTTTTTTACCTCTTTCTCTGGGAATAAGTCGACAAACGGAGAGCTATTCTAACCCATAAATCAACCAATATCAAATAGCAAATTCTTTAACCCCATTTACCGTCCATTTAACACAAAATTAGACCAAGATTGTGTCATAATCAGCCAATACTTGCAATATTTTATCGAAGACATTGGCTGCCTGACGATGTTGGCCTCGCCTTGCTCTTCGCTTATTGGAGGCAGGAATCCGGGTATCAGACGGAAGTAATACAGAGTGTGAGAAAAATAAATCCAGTGAATAAAATTGACATTGAAGATAAGAATATAACTGAAGGGAAGTTTCAAACGCGTGCAGAATATCCAAGAAAAACTTAAAAGTAACATCAGCTTGGTATCGTCAGTTCGATATCAACTCTGACTCGGGGATTTCCCCGCACATTTTCAGCCGATCGTAGTTTGTGTAAAACACTACACAGTGCAGTCTGACTGGGAGAGTTAGAACTTAAAACTAACAGTAATTGACGACGGTATCAATACACCTCTGCCAAATACTGTAGATCTACACTACAGTAGAACGTTTAGGATTAGTAGAAGTAGAACGCCATTGATATTGGGTAAATTATTTGTACATGTAGTGGCTGGCCGGTGTGTGGCCGGACCGTACACGTGACACCGTTTCTCCCCCCAAATCGCTACATATTGTGCAATATGGCGTTGACTGATTCACTTCCACTGCTTCTACTGGTAAGTCAAAATTTAACCATTACTCCGACTTTTGTGTGTTTACATGTAGTAAAGTGTAAATTGATGCACTATTCTTACAGTCAGCATGACGTCACAAGATGGCCGACACGCCCAGACTAGCCTAGGGTAAAACGGGGTGGAAACGCGCTACTTATATGATTATGACGAGCCTAACCGTCAGCACTGGATATTAGTTTGTGAGCTTGAGGGGCAATTAGGCTTGGTCTTTGCGGCACGCGCGAACAGTAGTCGATCTACCACACCTGGGTCTTTTGTTTTTGACAACTGTTCACTCGTCAAGGAGGTGCTTGTTCAAGACTACAGGCTGATAGATGATGGATTCTTTATTGATACACCTTTACAAATAAGGTACAATCAAAGACAAAGACAATTACATCTAACTACAACAGTACAAACAGGTATATAAATAAATATAAATATACATGATTTCAATGTTTACATGTAGCATAATATCAATAAGTTACTTTATAATAAGTTATATAAGGAATGTATGATGGCAATCTATACATGAAGGTGATGAATTAGAATGAGTACATTGGAGAGAGTACAATGCATTAATAGAGGGCCTGTTCTCTTTGTTTTAAGCATCTATTTACAAAACACATAACCATTCTAAGAATGTCTATGTCTTGGGCACCCATAAGAAGATTAAACAGTTTATTATTGCTGAGGTCGCCCAGGGGTAGGAATATTATATCTAGCTGATATCTACTACTAGCACTACGACCCTAGCACTACCAGTGGCTTCATAAGTAACGTTCCCACAATACATGGTTTTCTGTCTGTGCGTACATACCCTGAATTTGGTTAGCCTCACTGACGAGAACAATGGACGTTTCTTACCCCTCTCTAGGATTACCCCTGGGTAAAACAATCGGTAAGCTCCTTAATTTACTCCTAAAATGATGAAATTTGATCGTCTGTATCTCTCACACCGGTAGATAATTAAACTTGATAATTGTTTAATTATATCAACATAGGTATTTAGTGACAGGAAATGGCCATCAAGGACCTTTTCTTGTATTGATGCTGATTTTATCAGCGATAAATGCACCTCTCTTACACTAATTATTATATATGAGCTGCAGCTACAGTTCTGATTGTTTTTCAGGTAAGGAGTTGCAATGGCTTTGTTATCGGATGAATCTGTCCACTGACAGCGATTGAACAGAACTTACCTGGATCTTCAAACAGTCATAGAGCCCTTTGAGGTGGTTTAATAGAAAATAGCAAATAGAACTAAAACAGATATGATCTTCACAGGTGTAGTTATTGTATTTGTCTTTGAAAAGGGGAGCTGCAAGAATTTAAGCTCTAATGACAATTGACTAGTCTGATTTTATTACTGAAAGTGCATGACATTTTGAGAACTTGAACATTTTTTTCTAGTAATTTTTTAATACCCATATAGCTGCAGACAGAATTGAGATCATGGACAGGAATAAAATTTTTACATACTTAATAAACCATTTAATTATTGTACTGTGAAGTGTGTAAATGGCAATAATGGAACAGATAATTGATACTTTTTCTTTGTGATGTTGCACACTTTCAACAAGAGGATAGAACGCAAGAAAGGCTTTCAATGCACATATGAACTGGAAGAAACAAGCAGGTAGAGCTGTTTGCTGAGTAAAATCTATTAACCCATGCTTAAGTTTACAGCAATTATAAAAAACACTCAGCAATCAAAGTTTTTTTTTTTTTATGGATTCATCATTCAGTGTATTTATCCTTTTGCTTACAGGTTTTTATATCATAGAAATTCCAATTAATTTTTACTGTACAAATGTTAATTCATAATGCAACTTTACAGCGTATGTCAAGAAATTTTATAACTCCTTTCTTACATACCTTATAGATAAAAATAAAATGTTGATTTAAAGTCAACAAGTTTTATTGTATCTTTCATTTTGCATTTTGTTTAAGAATTCAAATTGATTTATGACGATTAAATATGCATTCAATTCAGATTTTTATATATCATACTTTGTATTGTGATATTGAGTCTGATGTTCTTAAAATGAAAATGAAATCACTACCTTATAAATGTATTATTTTCTGAAAAAAGACACCATGAACTTCATTTAGCATCAGAGTGACAAATGATTTGTAGATTTTGACAATTATAAAGATTTAAGTGAGGCTTTCATTCAAAAATAAAGAAAAATAGAATATTTAAAGAGCATTATTGCTGTTTTTCTAATTATTTCCAATTATGAAAACTAAGGATAAAAAATTGTAAGCTATTGGTGATTATTACTCCCCCCCCCTTCCATTAGCATTAAAGCTGAGTGAGCTTGATTAAAACTTTTTGTTTAACTGGATAATTATGGATGAATCAATTTATTTATGAAAAATAATTTTGGCAGGCCTCTAATTAAATTTTTACGTTTTTGCAGAAATCATAAAAGCTGAAAAAGTATTTAATAGTCTTTTCAAACATAATCCAGACAACAGTAGAAAAAGAAATTTTAATGAAAATATAGCAGTGACAAATTAAAATTCTTTTTGAAAGCACATTAATTGCATTAATTGAGACACCTGCTTTGAACACAACAGGTGAGCAATGCTACCCAAGCCCCCTTTTCTAGGTTATCAAATCTTTCAAATTGAGACCTCTAAAAGTAATATGAATATAATGGCTTTATTTGTGTCGATAATGATTTTATTATACAAGAATTCTGACTGTATATTAATGAACTGGTACATATTGGTCATAGTATTCCAGTAGGCAAATTTGCTTTAAAAATAGTACACCACCATTGTTGATAAAGTCTCCACTGACGCTAGAAAATTCCTATGATGGCCATTTTCCTGAGCTAAATACGTAAGTGAATATCAACAAACAGTTGTCATGCGTATTTGTTCACAGATGTACTCGATACAGACGATTAAATATGCCTATTACAACATGTATCTGGTGTAAACTGAAATTGCAGCCCGTTGGAGGAGTGTTGGTATTGTCGCTGTTAAAATCACCATCAGCTCTAGAAAATCCTGAGGCCCATTGGCTGATGCTAAAAACCCAAGTGAATATGACCAAGTGGTTGTCACAAGTAATTGTCCTCTGGTCTGTTTGATATGAACGATCAAAGTTCACCAATTTAACATTGAGAGTAAGTCTTAAAATGAGAGCCTCATTCTGGGTTAAGTAGGCCGGAATCCAACTAAGAATTACATCACATCATGGACATAATAAGAGAAGGACGAGTAACGCGGCATCTTCCTTTGAAGCTATGTGCGTTCGGGTAAACATTCGCCCATTGTCTCAGATAAGCTGTTTTGATAGCTCCACGGGAGCCTGAACAACTTATTATCAAGGTAGCGCGCGCTATGCCTCATTGAAATCCTTTTGTTCTATTGCATGGATAACGCAATTTCTCGCGGTCCCTCGTGGTTGCTATGACACAGAATTGCCTCCATCTTGTAATGAGGTATACCAGCCCGCTTGGCGCCAGGTGTCGCTAGTGTGAATTCAGTCCTGGAAGTCCTTTCGCAGTCGCCATATTACGAATAATACACGTGGGACAGCGGCACTGCTCGTAATAAACATGCCTCAGTATTGTTGTGTACCTGAATGTAAAAGTCGGCAAGGTGGGCACAATTTTCCTAAGGACTCGGGGCTTCATTTGAAGTGGAGGGTGGCCATTAATCGCGTCTGCACAAAGACCAAACGCCTTTGGAATCCTGGTCGGTACAGTGTCGTGTGTGCGAAGCACTTCACCCCCTCTGATTATAGAGAGACATTTACTGGTAAGGATATGTTGTTTATTATCTAAATTTATCTTCATTAGTAAGAGATTTTAATGCACTTGTAGGGGGGGGGGGCAAGGATCCCGTCATTTGCACTTCTATTATTAACCCACGCTTTCAAGACCGTTTCCTTGATTGGTTAGGTGAAATCAATCATTGGCTACCCTCAAGTATAACTTTTATTGGATTCTGACTATCTAAGCAAAGGCAAGTAACTAGTAAAATAGGTTGATTACATTATTTTCTTGATGCTACAAGTGAATGATAAAATATGCATCCTCTTTTAACTGTTGAATGCCTTGCAAGAAAACTAAGTTTTGATTTATATTGCAGGTAACTATAGATGTTTGAAATCAACAGCAGTGCCAACAATATTCAATTTTGTTGAGAAAGCCAACAATGCAGATCCATCTGTCACTGCTAGAGCTGAAAGAGCCCAGAAGCGGTCAGAACTACAGCCTGAGAATGTGCCTGTGCCAGAAATCGGTAATGAAGAAGTCATCGTGACAGAGCCAGTAGAGATCAGTGATGCAGTGGAGGTGAAGGAAATAGTGAAGGCAGAGGAACCTGTGCAGGCTGGGGTGCAGTGCAGCATTTTGACGGATGCTGGAAGCAAATATTCGGTCCAGCAATTTGTAAACAATCCAGATGCCATTATGTATTATACAGGATTTGAGAACTACGAACATTTCACTTTTTTTTAATGTGCTTGGTCCAGCTGCATACAGTTTGAATTATGAATCTAAATCTCTTTCTGTTGAGGATCACCTTTTTTTAACCCTCATCAAGCTTCGTCTCGCCAAAGATGATAAGGACCTTGGTTTCCTGTTTAAACTTTCTTCATCTACTGTTTCGAAGATAGTTAACACGTGGGTAGTATTTATGTATTTATGTATGATTATCAGCTGTCAGAAATAGACTTTTGGCCTGATAAAGAGACTGTTCAGGAGCACATGCCTACAGACTTCAAAGCAAAATTCCCTAAAACAAGAGTGATCTTAGATGCTACAGAAATCCCTATCCACAAACCTGACAATGTTGCAGATCAAAGTGCCACTTTTTCTACTTACAAAAACCGCAACATGTTAAAGGCTGTTATTGGTTGCAGTCCAAGGGGCGTGTGTACATATGTATGTGAGGCTTATGGAGGGAGTACAAGTGACAGACAGATCATTGAAAGATCCTCTTTGCTGCAAGATAAAACCCTTTTCTGCCCTGGTGACAGCATAATGGCTGACAGAGGAATAATGGTTCAAGATTTGTTTGCTGGACGGGATGTCCATGTCAACACACCTTCTATGTTAAAGGGCAAGTCACAACTTGAACTAGACAAAGTGATTAGAGATAGACGAGTTGCCTCAAAGAGAATACATGTAGAAAGGTTAATTGGTCTTGGCAAAACTTATAAAATTTTGAAAAGAGAGCTTCATAGCAAGAAAGTGCCCCTAGGAGGTATGATTATCAAAGTGTGTTTTCTGATGTCCAATTTCAGAAGATCTATTGTCAGTAAATATGCATAAGTACTACCAAGGTTGTATTATTGATTTTATTTTACTATTGATGTAGTGAACATGACAGGTGATGTTTAATACAAAAATTATTTTTTTCTGTAGGAATAATCGTTCAGTCCATCGTAAGAGTCATGAAACGATGTAATAGTTAGAATTTATTTGTGTACCAAGTTTACTGAATGCATAGCTGTAATTTCTCAACCAATGGAATACTGCAGGTATGTAAAACTTTCTGTAAGTTTGAGAAATAAAATTTTAAGAAAGCAAATATTTTTCAAATGTACACATTTTGTTTGTTCTTTTTATGAAATGAAAGTACTGGATTATTTTAATTGAAGAGAACCACTATATTATTTCATTACTTTGAAAATTCATTAAAAAAGAAGCACAACTAAATAATTTGGTGTAAATAAAATAGCACTACCAAATTATCTCATCCCACTAAAAATACTTTACAAAATAGCATAATATTTTTTTCATTAAATAGTATAAAAAACAGCACAACCATATAAGTACTTTTTGTAAAGAATATAGCACCATTTCATTACAGTAAAAATATTAAAAAAAATAGCACAACCACATTTGTTCTGTACTGTAAATAATATTGCACCATCAAATTGTTTCATTGCACTAAAATTGCTCTAAAGTTTGCACCACTTTTAATTTCAACACATTTTTCAAAATGACACTTGATTGCAGCTAAAACCATTTCATCCTTTCTACAAACTAGCTGCCACATACTTTCTATAGTGTTTTTCATAAAATAAAGTGAGCCTGGGCAAAATGCATGTGGAAAAATATTCAGTGTCGGAATGGATCAACTCCACAAAAAGATCTTTGAATGTAAATACAACAAAATAGCAGAATGAACGTTTCGTAATAAACAGCTGGCCTTGTACCTGAGCATAATATTTGTGCGTTTTCTTTAGGCGAAGAGCACCAGATACACATTCAATAAAAGGGAAATTGGGATCCAGTACCAACTGTCATGTTTCTGCCTTTGTATGGGCACTTGACCTCCACAATGCCATCTACACCTATCAACCCATCTGGCGTGGCCCCCAAATAAGGGGCTTCCAGACAAATAAACAATCCACACTGTTCAACTTTGAGATTTCGACTTTCTTCAAATTTGCGTATGGCAATTTTCTCGTAGTCCTGTCCATGCCGGATTGCTGGTGTGTGCAGAGGTTTTGGAGACAACAACGACTCGCACAGTTTGTTCATGTCCCTCTTCTCTGTCGCTGCCGTTATTTCGCCAAATCTGGATGCAGTGATCCGCCATTCTCTCTCCTTGTGCCAGATTGCACTCTTCCCTTGCTGCACCGTACTACGTTCAATGTCCTTGGCTGTTTGTTCCTCAACCTGAAATATCAATAGCCCATTAAAGCATGGAACATGGTATGTCATTAACTAGTTTCCATTCCATATTAAAATTCTATGATGTCACACACCACCTAGTGTAAAGCCGCGAGTGAGATTCTGCGAGATTTAAATTAAAAGGACTGCTTTCACCCCCACGCCATCTAGCGGCAGACCCTCATTGCTGGTATTCCCCATTGCTAGCACATAGACTTGCGTCAACAAGTGGAAATTTGTTTCGGATTTTCAGTTTCTTTTTCCTGTTACCTAATTAAAACGGGCTCTGGCCTTTGTCTATACTTGTTATCGTTTCGAAGATTGTATTGATATATGTCGAACTGATATATAACTGGTTTAAAAGCATGTTGACTAATAAAGCCAGGTAGGTGCTATCCAAACGTATCTGATAACAAGATAATGCAATGTAGCAAGCCAATTACAGAGGTGAGTTGTGATCAAGATCCACTTTTATGACCATTACCCAAGTAAATATATTCACGAAGTTTGCATGTGTACATGTCCACATTTATACTTGAATTAAAAGACCAATGAGGGTGTTTGTCAATCATCTCTATGCTGTATAGGGACTCCAATTTAAAGATGAAGAACTATTAATTTTCATTCTCAAAGTGGAGCAGACTGTAGCTGGTAATGTGTAAATATATATACTTCAGAGCAGTGTTAATGTCAACTTTGATAAAAGAATATTAAAAGGCCCACAAGTGCGTTTTTGTGCGTAACGAATGCGTGTGTGGTGCCATATTGCAACGAGAGCCCATATTGAAAGTTAAAAAAATAATAATTATCATTCTCAGAATGGAGCAGATCGTAGCCGGTAATGTGTAAATATATGTATACTTCAGAGCAGTATTAATGTCAACTTTGATAAAAGAATATTAAAAGGCCCACAAGTGCGTTTTTGTGCGTAACGAATGCGTGTGTGGTGCCATATTGCAATGAGAGCCCATATTGAAAGTTAAAAAAATAATAATTATCATTCTCAGACTGGAGCAGACCGTAGCCGCTAATGTGTAAATATATATATACTTCAGAGCAGTATTAATGTCAACTTTGATAAAAAAATATTAAAAGACCCACAGGTGCGTTTTTGTGCGTAACGAATGCGTGTGTGGTGCCCTATTGCAATGAGAGCCCATATTGAATGTTAAAAATATTAATTATCATTACATAATTCGGGCTCACTTAAGCAAGTAACATAAACCAATTCATATAGCACACATCAGTGTAAATGCCACCTTTAGCTAACTCGTACAAAAATACCAGACCTAAAACGATGTCAGCGAGTTGAATAAATCGGAGAGGAATTGCGTCATTTTAATTCAAGACACAATTGAAGGTTTCATTATTGCCGCGTCTCAGGCTAATTTCTCACATAGAGGGAAAAGTTTGACACTAAAAATATTTTCCAATCGGATCATAGTTGAAAACAAGTATACTACACTACAATTGTACAATTTTGAATGCTCATTTTACACCAACAAACAAGATTGCCTTTACCACATAGGGCATTTTGAATTCCTCCATGAATAAACATATCAAATTCTCACATAGTTTCCAAATTGACAGAACAAATTGTACTTATACTTCATCTCTATAATTTTATTGTCTCATCCACCCGAAAGATTGACTCACGTTATCGCGAACTACCTGCCCAAATGACACTAAAAGTCATCGACAACTGCGATATGCTCGCTACCTGTACGGGAGGTCGTGTGATCCGAACGCACATGGTTTCGAGAAGAGCTCACGTTAAGCCGATTATCCTTTGATCTTGCTCCACGTTACTCGTCCTTCTCTTATTATGTCCATGATCACATGTAAGATCTGCACTTTTTAAAGTTTCTTATTAAGCATTGCAAAAGTAGGATTTATTCATGATAATGCATAGATTACTACTAATACTTGTATTATAAGTAGCTTATATACATCAGGGTATGATTAAAACATTTGAATTTCTAAGCTACATTGTATTTCATTTAGATCAACATGGGGAACTAGAGGGAAGGAGGGGGGTGGTAACTAAAATTCATAAAAGTAACATTTTCCCCAAAGTCTGACATGCTGTTTAAAAGCTTCTAATAGATCTTTCTTTCCCACCCTCTGCTGACTTTTTACAGGCCTACCCAACTACCAGACTCTGCACCGAATGATCCCGAATTCACCAATAGATCGGACCACACTACCCATTTTCAAGGTGTTTGTCAGTACGCATTTCACAGTATCATACCCAAGAACATATTTGAGATGAGATGGACTACTTTCCAACCCCACTGAGAATCATCACTATCACATTGTGTACCAGGCAAGAGGGGTGTGCCGACTGATACTTCGAAGCGCGTTCTGACGCACACCTTGAAAACTGGTAGTGTGGTCCAATATATATCAGTGGATTCAGGATCATTCGGTGCCGAGTCTGGTAGTTGGGTAGGCCTGTTTTAGAAATAATCAATTTAGAAGTTTGTCCTTAAAAAAACTTTTACTTTTAACTCTCCCTAGATAATGTCAGAACATTGTGGTAATAACACTACTTGTTTTTAGTCATGTGTCAAAACGGGTCAGTTCCCAGTACAGTGGTTGAAGAATGGCATACAATGTAGAGATGAGTAAAAATCTGGCACTAGGGAGACACTTTTTTATGACAGTTTGTGCATTGGATGATGATGAGCTGAGATAAATGATGGGTTGGCCATATTTAGTGCAGGTCAGTAAGTTCACAAAACATCTGTTCTGAATGTGCTCTCAGGCAACTTCTTGCAACACAGAATGTACAGTGTACATGTATTAGTAAGATGTTGGTAACGTGGGAGTCACTAGATGTACTTATATCAAAATGAATTTACTCTTACTTGCTCATGCAATGAAATTAAAAGCCATGCATGGAAGTTAACAGTGACCATTCTGAAAGTGAAGCATGCCCATAATCTCACAACAGTTTTTTTTTTTGTTTTGTTTTGTTTTGTTTTTTTTTTTTTACTAATTTTAATGCACAGTGTAAGATTTTCCCACAAAAGATTCATAATTTATGAAATTTCCAAGTGTAAGAGGATTCTTTTTACTGTCATAAGATGGTTAACAGGTGTCATATATGGTTTCTGAAGAGGTGATAAATTTGATCATTTGTTCACTGTCAATGTTGTCAATGAGTACACATGTTGTGTATGTGTTCGGAATTTATCAAAAATAAATTACTTTTTCTCAAATACTAGTAGGTTTTACCTTGTAAGAAAAGGTTTATGTGCTTTACACATGTTTAAAGTCTTACACTTTGCCCCTTTAACCATATAGCCCAAAATACATGCATAGGCTCATAGCCAGCAATTTCAAAAGGGGGGGTTTCTTTTTCTGAAAATGTTGACGTACCTTTTACCGTGAAACCTTTGTGTACCTGGAAAAAATTTGCTAAGAAGGAATTTAAGTTAACCTCTTCTCAGCAAGAAGGGAGGTTCTTTCGAACTCTCCTGACCCCCCCCCCCCCCATGGCTAAGAGCCTGATGCATTTTTTACCATTATATTATGTTTGTATATGTTTATGCATGTATTTGTACATTGTTTATTTAGGTATTAGGCTTGGGACTTATATATATACATATATGCCACAGCAGACCTATATTTTTAGCAGATAGTCATTATAGCAACAATAAAGGTAAGCAAGACTGGGTTCCCATCCGTAGATTGATCTAAGAGGATAGGTCCATCTCCATAGGGTTTCTTGCTAAATTGCTTTCAGCCAAAGCGGCTTAGATGTCTGGGACACCCACTAAAGCTGCTAAATTATAGTTAATTACCCCCTATCAGCCTCAGCAGATGTGACAGACTTCTAAGCCACCCAAGTTAATTACAATTGAGAATCCCCTCGATTTTAGATGGATCTAAAAATATATGGAAATGGAGTGTAAGGCTGTATTCCCAGAGCTTTTAGATCGATCTATCCCCGCGGGGAGTCTCACTAGATTACTGTCAGAAAATCTGGCTTAAATGTCCGTCCCGCCTACTACAAGCTGTAAGGGGGTAATTAACTTTCATGTTCGCTCGGCTGACAGCTATTTAGTGTGAACCCCCAGGGAGTTAGGTCAGTCTAAAGTAGATCGATCTAATCTCTGGAAATGGGGTCTAATAGATCCATAGCTTAAATATGACTGACCGAGTTGAATGCTTGTCTTGTAATCCCCACAGGAAATCTGTTCAGTGTCAAATCCTGAATTTAGCAGCAAGGCTTCCGGCAGTTCGTCATATTTGATCTGCGGATATGTTAGTCCACTGTTCTGAATGTGCTCTAATGTAGTGAAATTAAGCAAATATATATAAACACACACACACACACACACATACACTACCGGTACAAGTACTCAGCTGCATGTTAAATTATACTATTATGTACACTTGTGCTTGTTGCTTCTTTTCACACACTGATCATAATCAGTATGAACTGCTTTTTTTTATATAATATGTGTATCCTACCAGCATGTTTGCTGATGTGCTTGTAATAGTACTAATTAGATGAATCCTAGTACGTAACATGTTAATTGTGTCCATTGGAAATATCTTTCACTGTAATATATTATTAAGTATATTTTTGTTAGTAATAATCACTTTCTTGCAGTGGATTCAAGGACCGTTACGTACACTGCAAACAAGAGTTGCCCACCCTGTGCAAAAGGTATGTGAACCAGCCTTTATTTTTCATACTGTATAATTATATATGCATTTCATTGTGATAGCAGTTTTAAGAACATTTTGAAAACGATTCAGCCAGTGATTCTTTACAAATCCTCTCTGTGTCCCTCTCATTCTCTTCGAATTTCATCTGCTTTACATATGACATCTGAATTACTACAGTACATTCTTTTCTCTTGTGTTGTAGGTGAATACCTGCTGACAGATGAAACAGCAAAAAATTATCCCTGTTTGTGTTCCAAATGCCCAGAAGGCATGTACCTTAATATAGATGACAGGTAAATAATGACCAGCTAAGAATCTCACCTACTTTGCCCTCTTCCATTGGGCGAAAGTTTTACTTGAAGGTTGTGCTGTAGATATTTCTCAGTTTGTAGAAACTAGCTAATCGTCTATTAATTGGTTATGTCAAAAGTGAACTAGGTTTGTTTTACAAAATTGTGCGATTCTGTTGATTTTACACAGGAAATTTTTCAAAAAAAATGCTAAAAAGATGCACTTGAAGTCAATTTTTTTTTTTTTGCCACAAAATTTATTGTGTGTGTGTGTGTTAACATATTGTTGCATATACAAAGCATAAATGTCTCATATTTCAGGTGTATGAAATGTGATTGCTGTAACAAAACCAACATAATTACTGGAGAGAATATTTGGGGTCACAAAATAAAGGAATGTGATGCACAGTTCCCAGACAAAAAATGTGACTCAGACGCGGACTATAAAGCAACTTGTAATGCAGAGCCAACACCTGGACCTCCAACCCCTCCATGTAGGCACTGTTCCTTCTATTCACCTTTAATGCTAACAGTGAAAAATAAATAACTATTATTGATTTTTTTAGTTCAAATTTACTTGTTTCAGAGGTTATCGAATTAATGTCTATTTTGTTTAATTTTGATAAGTACATTTATGTGAATTTCTTTTGTGAATATACCCAAGTGGGCGTGCGCACACAGTCATACACACACCAAGACACAAACACAAATGGGGATATACTAATAAGCATTTACTTTTATTTAAAATTTTCAGTCTTTGTTAGATTCCCGTGGATGTATGCTGTCATAGTTGCTGCAGTGGTAGGAATAGCATTATCCATTGTGGGGCTAGTCCAGGTTTATAGAAGATGGAAGAAAAGTAATGAAGGTATCAGTGTCCCAGGCCCAGTACCCTGCACATAAACTGCTTGTACCAACTTTGACTTTTTTCACATCATGCGGTATACTTATCTGTATTGCCACGTTTTGACTGGATCTCACTTTCCCTTTGGACCAATCAAAGGCTGCGTTCACATGAAAAATCTATTTTCTAAAAATCTAAAAATCTGTTTGCGGTATCTTGTGATCACGGTTTGTGCCCTGAATACCCCACGGCATAATTACGGGCAGCGCAAGCCAGTTACTTCCAAAGCTGTAATTAATTCTTGGCGCTGCCAGTAATCACGCCGCGGGGTATTCATGGCACAGACCGTGATCACAAGATACCGCAAATAGATTTTTAGAAAAAAGATTTTTCATGTGAACACAGTCAAAATTTATCTGGCAAACAAGCTGTGTAGAGTGCTTTCCTCAATCTTTCAATATGGAGTAAGTGAGAAAGTTGTACTGTATGATGTAAAAAAGGACTTTAAATTTTTTGGCATAGTGTGATTCACAGACCTGTAGTTTAACCTTTTTGTGGAAATTTTATTCAACAGTTGATCATTTACTACTTATCTGTATCTGTCAAAGTACATCAGAATTTTTATCTTTCGTAGAATTACCATTTTTGGTATTGTAAATATACGATCCAACTTTTGGTTGCAAATAGATATTATTATTATTATTGTACCACCAGCATAGGCGCTGGCGGTACACATGGTTTTAGTCCCGACTCGCATGTTCCGCCGGCTCCTCTGGCTCCGCCGCCATCTCACCGTTACCGCTTCTCCTTCTAGACGGTAAGGGCCTCCGTACCCATCTCCTGGATTTAGGTCACCTATAATCTCAACTCGTTCCACGTAAAATTTGGGCTTTGTCGGTGCGGAGGTCTAGGTGTGGCACTCATTGCAATACACCCTTGTCCAAAAATGGCAAAATTAAATGCTAATTATCTACCCTACGGAAGGAATTATGGGGAAAANTATGCATGTATTTGTACATTGTTTATTTAGGTATTAGGCTTGGGACTTATATATATACATATATGCCACAGCAGACCTATATTTTTAGCAGATAGTCATTATAGCAACAATAAAGGTAAGCAAGACTGGGTTCCCATCCGTAGATTGATCTAAGAGGATAGGTCCATCTCCATAGGGTTTCTTGCTAAATTGCTTTCAGCCAAAGCGGCTTAGATGTCTGGGACACCCACTAAAGCTGCTAAATTATAGTTAATTACCCCCTATCAGCCTCAGCAGATGTGACAGACTTCTAAGCCACCCAAGTTAATTACAATTGAGAATCCCCTCGATTTTAGATGGATCTAAAAATATATGGAAATGGAGTGTAAGGCTGTATTCCCAGAGCTTTTAGATCGATCTATCCCCGCGGGGAGTCTCACTAGATTACTGTCAGAAAATCTGGCTTAAATGTCCGTCCCGCCTACTACAAGCTGTAAGGGGGTAATTAACTTTCATGTTCGCTCGGCTGACAGCTATTTAGTGTGAACCCCCAGGGAGTTAGGTCAGTCTAAAGTAGATCGATCTAATCTCTGGAAATGGGGTCTAATAGATCCATAGCTTAAATATGACTGACCGAGTTGAATGCTTGTCTTGTAATCCCCACAGGAAATCTGTTCAGTGTCAAATCCTGAATTTAGCAGCAAGGCTTCCGGCAGTTCGTCATATTTGATCTGCGGATATGTTAGTCCACTGTTCTGAATGTGCTCTAATGTAGTGAAATTAAGCAAATATATATAAACACACACACACACACACACATACACTACCGGTACAAGTACTCAGCTGCATGTTAAATTATACTATTATGTACACTTGTGCTTGTTGCTTCTTTTCACACACTGATCATAATCAGTATGAACTGCTTTTTTTTATATAATATGTGTATCCAACCAGCATGTTTGCTGATGTGCTTGTAATAGTACTAATTAGATGAATCCTAGTACGTAACATGTTAATTGTGTCCATTGGAGATATCTTTCACTGTAATATATTATTAAGTATATTTTTGTTAGTAATAATCACTTTCTTGCAGTGGATTCAAGGACCGTTACGTACACTGCAAACAAGAGTTGCCCACCCTGTGCAAAAGGTATGTGAACCAGCCTTTATTTTTCATACTGTATAATTATATATGCATTTCATTGTGATAGCAGTTTTAAGAACATTTTGAAAACGATTCAGCCAGTGATTCTTTACAAATCCTCTCTGTGTCCCTCTCATTCTCTTCAAATTTCATCTGCTTTACATATGACATCTGAATTACTACATTCTTTTCTCTTGTGTTGTAGGTGAATACCCGCTGACAGATGAAACAGCAAAACATTATCCCTGTTTGTGTTCCATATGCCCAGAATACAAGTACCCTGATATAGATGGCAGGTAAATATTGACCAGCTGAGGATCTCACCAACTTTAACAAGTTTGTCCCCTTCCATTGTTGGGCGAAAGTTCTACACATGAAGGTTGTGCTATAAATTTCTTAGTTTGTGGAAACTAGCTAATTTTCTGTTTATTGGTGTTAAGAGTGAACTAGGTTAGTTTTATATTAATAAAATTGTGTGAATCTGTTGATTTAAACCAGGAATTTTATTCAAACAATATGCATAAAGGTGCATGTGAAGTCAATTTTTTGCCACAAAATTTAGTGTGTGTGTGTATGTGTGCAGTGTGTATGTGTTAACATGTTGTTGCATATATACAAAGCATAAATGTCTCATATTTCAGGTGTATGAAATGTGATTGCTGTAACAAAACCAACATAATTACTGGAGAGAATATTTGGGGTCACAAAATAAAGGAATGTGATGCACAGTTCCCAGACAAAAAATGTGACTCAGACGCGGACTATAAAGCAACTTGTAATGCAGAGCCAACACCTGGACCTCCAACCCCTCCATGTAGGCACTGTTCCTTCTATTCACCTTTAATGCTAACAGTGAAAAATAAATATCTATTATTGATTTTTTTTAGTTCAAATTTACTTGTTTCAGAGGTTATCGAATTAATGTCTATTTTGTTTAATTTTGATAAGTACATTTATGTGAATTTCTTTTGTGAATATACCCAAGTGGGCGTGCGCACACAGTCATACACACACCAAGACACAAACACAAATGGGGATATACTAATAAGCATTTACTTTTATTTAAAATTTTCAGTCTTTGTTAGATTCCCGTGGATGTATGCTGTCATAGTTGCTGCAGTGGTAGGAATAGCATTATCCATTGTGGGGCTAGTCCAGGTTTATAGAAGATGGAAGAAAAGTAATGAAGGTATCAGTGTCCCAGGCCCAGTACCCTGCACACAAACTGCTTGTACCAACTTTGACTTTTTTCACATCATGCGGTATACTTATCTGTATTGCCACGTTTTGACTGGATCTCACTTTCCCTTTGGACCAATCAAAGGCTGCGTTCACATGAAAAATCTATTTTCTAAAAATCTAAAAATCTGTTTGTGGTATCTTGTGATCACGGTTTGTGCCCTTAATACCCCACGGCATAATTACGGGCAGCGCAAGCCAGTTACTTCCAAAGCTGTAATTAATTCTTGGCGCTGCCAGTAATCACGCCGCGGGGTATTCATGGCACAGACCGTGATCACAAGATACCGCAAATAGATTTTTAGAAAAAAGATTTTTCATGTGAACACAGTCAAAATTTATCTGGCAAACAAGCTGTGTAGAGTGCTTTCCTCAATCTTTCAATATGGAGTAAGTGAGAAAGTTGTACTGTATGATGTAAAAAAGGACTTTAAATTTTTTGGCATAGTGTGATTCACAGACCTGTAGTTTAACCTTTTTGTGGAAATTTTATTCAACAGTTGATCATTTACTACTTATCTGTATCTGTCAAAGTACATTAGAATTTTTATCTTTCGTAGAATTACCATTTTTGGTATTGTAAATGTACGATCCAACTTTTGGTTGCAAATAGATATTATTATTATTATTGTACCACCAGCATAGGCGCTGGCGGTACACATGGTTTTAGTCCCGACTCGCATGCTCCGCCGCCATCTCACCGTTACCGCTTCTCCTTCTAGACGGTAAGGGCCTCCGTACCCATCTCCTGGATTTAGGTCACCTATAATCTCAACTCGTTCCACGTAAAATTTGGGCTTTGTCGGTGCGAAGGTCTAGGTGTGGCACTCATTGCAATACACCCTTGTCCAAGAATGGCAAAATTAAATGCTAATTATCTACCCTACGGAAGGAATTATGGGGAAAATTTCTACAGACGGCTTTCCAAAAGTCATATGTGTAGATTTCAAATATGCCCTTGGATTTGACCTTTGACCTTTCTTTCAAGGTCAAACAGGCCAAAATTTTCAAAAAAACGAAATTTTTTACGAAAAAAAAATTATTTGCGCTGTTATTCAGAAACTACACAGTATACACTACACAATAATATTATTGGAAAGTGTTACC